GATCACACCAAGTTTGAAACCGTCGCCACGCAAAATCCGAAAGAATTGGAGCGTGTGCAGGGATTGATTGATCGACTCATTGAGGCCGCGGAAGTCATTGACGAAGAGTACATGGCCGTGAAACGAAAGAGCAAGGATCAAAAGTACCTCAGCCACGTCGAATTGGATCATTGGACCATGGGAGATTTGGCCGGGAATCTTCAGCGACAAGTGGGAGAGTTGCGACGAGAGCACGAGGAACAATTCCAAGAGCGCTTGGAATCGTTCTATGAGGCTCAGAGAAAGGAAAAACTGCACAGACAAAGAAAGACAAATAGACAGTGCAGACGACTGCAGTGGAGATGCATGCATGTAACAGTGATGCATCGATGCCGTGACATGACCCTTGCCCGCCGCACAGATTTCTCTCTCGTGGATTCGTTTCGTCACGGCCAAGAGACGGTCTGTGGACCAGTGACTTTCCTTGAGTCTTGCGACACTCCTGCCAGGCCATCATCATTGGGAGGAAACAACTTGTCGATAAATTCGTCCAATTCCGAATCTTTGCATTGCTTCTTCTCCAACTGCTCCTTGTGGAGTTCCTGTTCGGCAGCGGCGGCTTCGGCCTTGAGCTGACGGGCTTTGGCCAAGAGAGCTTCAATGTCGGTGGTGGAAGAAGACAGACGAGTAGTCGACGAGGAAGGAGTGAATCTACCCAGGACCGTAAAGGCGGCGGCTTGGTGGACAGCCAGAGCTGCGATGGCGAACAGAGGAATCAATTTCATTGTCAATGAATGGTATTGCTAGACTTCCGTAGCCGAGAAATATCAAATGAAAGAATGATCAACAAAAAATAATGGGATTGAGAGAGTCTATCCGGCTTCCTTGCTTGTTGGAGTATCCAGCCAGAGAAGACCAGAAGTCTTCTACCCTTCTATCTCTTTCTTTCTCGCAATGGTTGGTGTGATATTCCTACGCCGTACAGTCTGCACCTTTGGCAGAAGGCCACATTGGCCATCTGGAAACTGATTGGTCAATCGTTGATGTGCTGATGGCGTATCTTTGGCTTCAGCCGATGACGTCTGCTTCGCGACTTACCGGTACAGTCGTACTCCACAAGGAAGGGATTGGGTGAGTCGGTAGTCCCCACTAGCTACGTCTTAGTATAGTAGGTGAAGTGAAAACCTTGGGACAGGAAGGCTGGAGCTGGTCTCAGGGTACCGGTAGGTCCAAGAGTAGGATTGGTTTAGTTAGGTTTAGAGGTGGGTTCTGACATGGGGAATGTCCAAGTGTGGATCTGGGAGTTGGGTTCATGATTGCTTGGGACCTGGCTTTGGTCCAAGTGATGGGCCTGGAAACCAGGAATTGGGCGAAGCGTTGGGTCTAAAGTACTGGTAGGCGCAGGAGATGCGTCTGGTGTGGGTCCTCCAGATAGTGAGCTCGCTGTTGGTCCTGGAGTAACGGTACGGACAGGTGTTGGCCCAAGTGCAGTACTGTACCGAGGTCCAGGTTGTTGGTCATGTTTGGTCCGTTTGGTTCAGACCGGGCGCTGGTCATGATGTAGGTCCTGGAGTGGGCCTGATATGGGTCCTGGAGTGGGGTATGGTGTGCTATAAGGTATCTAGCTACCTGGTAGCTAGTCAAGGCGCAGATGCAGTCGTTGGATGAGGCATTGGTAGCAGTCAGGTCTGGCTGTGAGTTTACCATATACTGGTACAGTCGTACCGGTACGTGAGGGAAGGAGAAAGCCTTCAGAGCTGTATTCCATCTCCTGGAGACGATTTGCTTTAGGGGTAATGGTACCGATGGGGGCAGAGGGATCACACCAAGTTTGAAACCGTCGCCACGCAAAATCCGAAAGAATTGGAGCGTGTGCAGGGATTGATTGATCGACTCATTGAGGCCGCGGAAGTCATTGACGAAGAGTACATGGCCGTGAAACGAAAGAGCAAGGATCAAAAGTACCTCAGCCACGTCGAATTGGATCATTGGACCATGGGAGATTTGGCCGGGAATCTTCAGCGACAAGTGGGAGAGTTGCGACGAGAGCACGAGGAACAATTCCAAGAGCGCTTGGAATCGTTCTATGAGGCTCAGAGAAAGGAAAAACTGCACAAGACAAAGAAAGACAAATAGACAGTGCAGACGACTGCAGTGGAGATGCATGCATGTAACAACGTAACAACTGACTGATGACTGAGAGGAAGCAACTGGTATGGAGATAGAAAGCATGTTACCAGTAATTCTTCTACATTGTCACAGAGAGTGCGAGAGAGAGCCAAGTATGAAGATTCTTAGAACGTACTTGCTGAAGAATAAATAGAGAAGACGAAGCTTTGCAACCCTTGCCCCACTTTAGTCACAGTTCTCTTGTGTTGATACAATACATCTGCACGTCTCCCGAACAAGGATTGATTTAGCCAGCGTACTAGTACCGTACCGGTACCGGTATGCCTGGTGTACCGTACAGTACTTCCAACGCATTCAGGCATAGAAATTTCGCCTTTTTGTAGAGAACGGAAGACGCAAAAACCCTTTCATCGTCAACCCTTACATCCCCAAAGCACAGCAAGGTTTTGTCGTGGAGTTTCCTACCGTTACGACCAGGTTGATTTGATCCAAGCGGTATCCACTGTGATGCTCAAACGAAACCATAGCATGGTCGTCAAGGAGGGCACTCGCAGTACACCTTCCTCCTGGGGACTGAGGACTCAGTTTGGGGGCAGCCCTCTTTGCTTGTTTGGCCCTGGAATGGCTCGTTTTGTGCATTGGTACAATTGAACTTACCGGGCGGCACAGCGGGCAGAAATGCCCCAGTCGACAAGGCATGGGGCAAGACCTTGCGAAAGTAAGCTTGAAAAGTAATTACTGGTTGAAACATCCGTGTAGGGGACTATGGCATTACTGCTACATGTATCTAGACAAGTGCAAGTGCACTGGCCTAACATCCTTTGTACCCGACTTCTTGACTTTAACCCTTAGGAGGCAGCAACAGCTCTGAAGCAATGGAAGCTCTCCAGTCGAGCATCTTTTTACCAACAATATTGTACATGTCTACAGCATTTGTCGAATAATGTCATTGATTTCTTCTCCTTGATCACCAAAGTTTTTTCCTTGCTTGAACTTGAGAGTGTCGCGTTCAAAATGTGTGGTCTTGTGGGAAAGACGAAACGGCCACAAGAACTTAGTAACGGGAAAGAAGGAGTCTCCTGCCTCGAAAATTTCATGGACCAAGTCTTCGGAACAAATGACGCCATGATCGTCGCCCAGAGCATTTTCAATAATGGTGTTATCGGACAATGCCACACGCTTGCCGTCAATTTTTCCAAATCCACGTCGTTCAATCAAATCTTCCACCACGCCCTTGACGGGAGGTCCATAGATGACCCAGGGTTCCACCAAATGCAACATTTTCTTGTGACTCTCGTCGTATCGCACAAAGACGCCTTCGTTGATATGGCGCAAGCGAAGACGGCTGAGGATCCTCTTGACCATGGAAGAGGCACTATGGTGATCCCGTACCCGAATCACAAAGACCATGGGCGCTCCCACAGAGTTGCTCTGATAACGGATTGTTTTCGTAACAGTCTCTTCTTCTGCTTCGTCATTATCCAATTCCACTTCTTTGGTCGATTCGGTTTTCTTGTTGGATGCCCGTGTCTGCATTCCCTTCTTCAGTACTCGACTGTACCGTTTTTGGCCATTGCGGCGAGATTTTCCTTGCGACACGAGAGTTTCCAAGGCTGTCGGTTTCTTGGCCTTGGGAATGTTCTTCTTGGCCTTGATTCCAGGGGCCGTTTGATCCTTTTCCAATTGAGCTGCAGCCTTCTTGCGACGAAGCTCGTCCAAGTCATGTCGCTTCTTCAGCACAGTCTCGGGGACCAAGGGCAGGTCCTTGTATTTCTTGGGAATGTTGCTAGCCGTCATGGTTGTCGTCTGTTTTCTTGAAAATATAATGTTCTTTGAAAAGAGTGGGGGTGAGTGAAGCCGAAGGGCAACGATGGAGGGCAATTGAGCGGCGAAGGAAAATGAATGGATGGTCGAGGGGAGGGAGACGCACAGACACTTTGTATTTCGGATTTTTCCGAAGATGTCCGAAACGCATCGTGGAAGAAAATATTGGCTCTGCTGGCTACTAATTTTGTTTGCGTACAACCGACAACATTCCACTCTTCAACCTTCCGCCTTTGACAGCGCCAAGACGATGAAGACACCCTTCCTGTTGTTGCTGCTCCTTGCCCATGGCCATGCAAAAGAGCTCATTGCTACTGACGAATGGCAAAAGGTAGGAGACACCGATACATTGCCAGCTGGTCTTGAGATCCGAATGGACCTTACGAATGGCGGAAAATGGGCTCGGCTACTGCAGAAAGAAATCGATCCGCCTAATCATTCGGAACTACAGCCACACGAAAAGCGCTGTGGTCCAAGCTGCAAAGAGCGTCAAGAGGCAAGAGCGGAAAAGCGTAGAGCCGCCGGGTTCATGTTGAGAGAGCCAAGTCATCATCAGCACTCCAGACGACGACAACAAGAAACGGATGTGGACATCGAATTTGGTGGCTCTGCTAGTAGTTCGAGTCTCTTTCATGCAATGATTGTTTTTGTGGCCGGATTGGGCATTGGTCTGGGTGTGGCGACAAGATTTCGAAGAAAGAGTGGGAGCTTGCACGAGTCCTAGCCTTGCTGGTTAAAACCTAACTGCGGGTACCGCACAAATGCTCAAGCCTTCCAGGTTCCTGTTGTGTTCGATCTTGCCAGCTGGAAGACATGAAATGTCTGTGGGGATCATCACCAGTACCGAAGAAGTCAACTGGAATCGAATCATATTAAAATTTCTTCTTTAGGAAAGTCGGCCGCGATTTGTGGAGGAGAGTACGTACCTGCGGCAATTCTTGCATTGTTCCTGCGAACGGATTGAATGTTTCAACCGGCAAGGCAGCAGAAACATTTCGTCACCCAAAGGCCGAGAACAAGTCTGGGAAAGCCCTCTTCAACGTGCCTAAAGCAATGAGCAAATATGCTCCAACAAAATCTTGTATGTGCACATGATGGCAGGAGGAAACTGTAAACAGCATTCGTACTAATCAGCAGGGAGAGTGGCAACTCCCAGCATGCCATGGGATGAGATGGAGCAGAAGAGAGCAGGTTCAACTTTGACTATACTGGTAACGTGGAGTGTAACTTATGCAACTATGGTCCTGGTTTCTGGTTGGAAGGACTATACCTTTTGTGCATTCTGAGCGATACTCGTGATGCGCTACAACGTGGCCTGTGAAGGGGGGATGGAAGGGAGTGCATTTCTGAGCACTTCCTGCGGTATAGGAGACAGGTGAACGGGTAGAAGTTAAAGGAATAGTGGGACCATATCTCCTTGGCAAGAGACAGGTTGATACCTTAGTGCCTGCTGCAATCCGCTACCAGTACTGTGCGAGGCGAAAGGCAAAACATGAGTTCCCTCTGCCTATCCTTCTGGAGCCTTGTCTACTACAATAGTACGTTGTGGTTTCCCGGTTCATGAGTGGATGGACAATCCTTTCGCTGTGTTGGCCTGTTTAGTCCACCATCACTTTCTAGGTGGTACCGGTACAGCGTGTCCTCATCCCTGGTCATGCTTCGCATTGCAAACGGATGTCGTCTGACTACTTGAGGGCACTCGTCAATCTGAACGAATCAAGCCATTATCGGCTCATAAGTGTCGGTTGACAGCTTCCGATTGGTGCTGGTACTTCCAATGAAGGATTTTCCTAACGTCTTTAAGAGTCTACAACAGAGTGTCTACAACACAAATATCGTTTTGTTCACTGCAGTGTATTGTTGTTGATTGCGATGAGAGGAAATGTATATACGAGAGCACCCTCGGTATATTTGTATGTAGCATTGGATCCAGGGACGTCAAGTCGCTGTATCTCTGAAAGGTGCGCCACGCAATGCTCTCATCTACCGTACTGCTTGTCCTTTTTCTTCTTCTTTTTCTTGCTTTCAGCTTCCTGTTTGGCTTTGCTCAGCTCTTTTGCAGCAGCGGCGGCAGCAGCATTCGTAGACCCACGCTTCTTGACTGCTGTCTTAGCTTTGAGGACGGCTTGTACGTCCGTAGGTTCAGCACTTGCATCTGCTTGCTCCTCCCCATCGGGTTTGCTATTATTGTTTTGCGCTCCACCCTTCTTTTTCTTTTTCTTGCGCTTTTTGGCGCCACCTCCGCCACCAGCACCATTGTCGCCAGCAGCAGCATCGTCGTCTTCCTCGTCTCCCTCATCGGCATCATCAGCAGATCCCGATTTCGGTTCAATACCTAGATCATTCAGGATGGCATCTAGATCATCTATTTGATCTTCTACTGACTTTCGTTTCTCCTTTTTCTTCTGTTCTTCCAATTCTTTGGCTTTTGCTCTTGCTTCTTCTAGCCTCCGTTGCCGTTCTTGCTCCGCTTCCTCGTCCACCTCTTCCGGTGGCTCCTCCTCTTGAGGCTCTTCCGCCTCCTCCTTACCACCTTCGTCATCTGCTTTGGCATCGTCGCCATTCTCTTCTAGATCAGCATCAGCTTCAATTTCTTCTGCTTGGAACTCCTTTTCTGGAACTGCTACAGGTTCTTCCTGTTTAATAGGTTCCATCAACTACACAAAAAGAGGGATCCAGAGAAAGGTGGTCTGAGGTCCACGCTCCGAAAAACACGGTCTGCTCCGAAAAAAAGGTATCAAACACTTACCGCCTCGACGTTCTCAGGTGTGGCTTCCTGGTTGGCCTCATCATTATGGCCGCCCGAGTCACCGTCAGAGCTAGTATCACCCCAACGACTCATTGCTGTGTGTAATGGTCAATTGCTATAGTGCTGATGTCACTAATAACAGGTTGCACAATAGAAGAAGAATGGATTGTCGTGTCTATTCGGCCAAGAGAAACCAACCAACCAACTAACTAGCTAGCTAAGGGAGAAACTTCTGATTGTTTGCTGTGTGTAACGACCCACTGAGCTCCTGTTCCCACCTATGGTATTGCGTTCGATGCTGCTGAAGGTAGATGGGTCTTTGGCTTGGCCGAGGTTGTCTGTTGTCAACACGCTTCAAGGTGAAAGCATGCGGTTGATATTGGTCGCTCAGTTTTGCCGTTGCTTTCTGTCTGGCCGTCGTCCGGCAAGTTGAAGTCGCGGGAGGTGCGTTTGTGCGCCTTCCGTTTTTCTTTCGCTCTCACACGACTAAAGTAGAGTAAGTAACGAGTGGCACGAAAGTCCATTCACCTTGGAGTCGAGTCCACACGACCACCGTAGAGATCCTGCGACCGATCGACATTCTAGCCGTCCTCTTCTGTGCTGGTACGGCTGTCCCAGTATACAGCTCAGCCACCAGAGCGAAACCAAGATGGTGTCATGCACGAAACGACGTGGATGCTAGCTGCCAGGTACCGGTACTAGTAGCTTTGTAGACATGTGATAGCCTTAGCTTGCAAAAAATGCACCTTTCCTGGCAAGCTAGATAGAAGGTCGCATGTACTTCACCCTATTTCGAAACAACGGGTTTCATATCAATTGTTCTACTGCTGAGATTGATGCTCCTTGCCTGCTTTTCCTCGAGGGAAGCTCCTCGATATCGCGGACGTAGAGCTTCATGGTAAGGGGCGAGCAAGAAGCGCCACTATAGTAACAACTAGACTAAAGACAGGATAACAGGTTGACAAACGATAGGTTCTGGAAGCAACAGCCTGAAAAGGAAAACTTTTGCGAATGCTAGCTATAGCTAGACTCACTTGCTCCGCCTTGCCTGTGACACGGAAGCGAGATATACCTATGCCCTGTCAAAGTGTTGGTACTCTACTGACCCTGCAGTCCTTTTCTCAAGCAATCAGTAAGGGCTTCATCCAATTCTGAAAACTAAGTGCTGTCGACTGCACTTGCCTAGCCCCCGCCCTTATGAGCTTACAACTATCTATTGACCTCCTTTTCGACCTTATCCAAGTTGTCAATCCAGGCTTCAACTTTCTGGATCTCGTCCGTCCAAGTACTTAGTAAAGTGCTATTCAATCAGGGCTGACATCTGACAGCGAGCGAGGACGGAGAGGGGAGGGGTCCAAGTCACGCGTTGCTATCAGCACTGGAGCTGCTAGAGCCGTCAGTAGACATGCCAAGAGCAGCAAAGAGGAGTTTGCTGAAACTTAGCATGTTGTTGATGAGGCGTCGGAAGTTTGGTTTCCAGCCTTTGAGAAGTGGCCAATGGATGGACCGTCCCAGATAGGGTTGACTTTGGTTTGACCCCCTTGTCATCCAAGGTTGGTTTAGTCGCATCGCCTCTTCATCCTGTCATCTGAAGGATGCTACCGGTATGCTGTGATCTCTCGATTGAAAGACTCGTGATCGATCTTTTTGGCAAGATGGATGATGGATCAAGCCAAGTCGGCCGTGATCCGTGGATGCGTATTATCATGCTCCAGCGCTCAGAGGCATGGAGATAGAGGACAGATCGGCTGAATCCAAGAGCAACCGGCCAGCGAATCCTACCAGATCTAGAGCACAAATTGCTTCACGGATACCGATGCTTCCCCAGAGCTCACTCCCCACCAAGGCGTAAGCGGTTGCAAAGCTCAAGCTGCATGCAGCAGACACATTGGTTCAGGTTCCAAGGGATGACTTTGTTGCCAGATGAAGTGAGAAATCTGCAAGGATTTAGAGATTTAGAGGTCATCAATTTGCCTTCCAAATCTTCCCCTGAAAAGGCTAAATTCTCCAATTTCCAAAGATACTTAACAATGGATATGTAAATACTATGATACAGGGTGCTGAAGTGGCTACTAAATGTTTCACAGTGTAACAGATCCTTTCAAAACACCAGATCGTCCTCATCTTTTGACCGGCATGACAAGCATCTCGATCACCGTTTCGCGAAAGTGGAGGACAAGCTGTACTTTTGCCACCAGAGACAACGACAAAGATACAAGCAGCAGAACAAAGAGGCAAAGGACTCAAAGCATTCTAGCGCTGCGCTGCTTCTGAGTCTGTTGATGCTGTCTCGTACCTTCCAAAGAATAAGATGATAAGATTGCTGTTGTCCCACACTGGCTTGGCATGTCTGTTGCTCTTGCACGTCGGTGCTGTAGTAGTTAGTAGCTCTGGGGATGCGGACGGAAACCATGATAGTAAATTCAGGTTACGCCATCGACAAGTGATGAAACCAAAGGGTCAAATATTCGCTCAGGTAAGTCTAAGTTCTCCCTGGGTATCATGTTGTCTGGACAATATTAGACAAACTGTGCCCAATCAAGAACGAATTGTCCAAGTACCCTAAAGGATTGTCTCTCTGGTGAGGATCTGGTAGCTCACTTGTGTGCTGGTTTTCTATCTGTCGTTGATACTCTTCAACAAACAGCCCGAGAGAAATCTGCAGAACTTTGGCCTGGAACACAGCGAATCAGTGGATAGTCACCCAGGTGGGGAATTTGAGGTGGATACATCCGTAGAGCGACCAGGTGCTGTAGCTGCTGACCCATATCCAGGCCCAGGGGACGCTTTTGAATTGGACGCCAAAATGCCAAAGCGATCCTTCTCCAAGTCGGAATCGCTGGACCGTCCTGATGATCAGCGAAAGGATCCTTTTGAACTAAACATACCTCCAGGGTCATTCCAGCCCACCACTCTGACTCCTACAACCTTGAGCCCCACCACACTCAAGCCCACTACTCAGGTACCAACTCCGATGCTAACACCAGAACCTACCACCCCGGAACCGACAATGCCAAAGAGACAGGTCACGTTTCCCCCCATTACGCAGGAACCGACCACATTGGCTCCAACTACACTGGAGCCAACCAGTTTGCCTCCCACCAAAGAGGCCACACCGGAACCGACATCATTGCCACCAACCACACTTGGGCCGACCACCTTGGTTCCAACTACATTGGTTCCAACCACTATTGCACCAACGACAAAGCCGCCAACAGGTGAACCAACTACTTTGCCTCCGACGTTGCCACCCTCTCAAACACCCACCACAAAGGAGCCTACAGGCCAGCCAACGAGTTTGCCACCAACGTTGCCTCCCTCACAAACGCCCACAACAAATCCCCCCACAACGCCACCTACAACTTCACAACCTACTGTTTCCCCAACAGTCAAGCCTACAGAGTCGCCGACCACGTCTCCAACAACTGCGACCAGAGTTGCCACTTTGTTTCAAATCGTTGAAGATGAAGAGCCTTTCACTCACGACTACCACATCCCAGAAGGAGCGTACAACTTTACAGTTCCTGAACGACTCATCCATGAGACAATCAAGACCTTGGAACGTGCTGGTGACCTCGCCGATGCCTTGTTTGGGCCCTATGATTCCGAGTTCAAGCTGGATGAGTTTCTGGATGCTCTCAACACCAGCTATGATTGGGATGTCAACATTGCAGAGAACAGTGTGGAAGATCGCAATGGAAACCGCAACCTAATTGAAGATGATGCCACACTGCTGCAAGATCTGCAGCACAACGTTGCTCCCACTCCTTCCCCAAATGCCAAGATTATGAATTTGGGAGGAGAAAGGGCCGCTCCGGAAACGTTGGGTCGCATCGAGTATGCCATGGCTCACATGGGTCTCTTGTTGGGGCAAGCTTTCCAAGAGAGCATGATTACTGGAATGTGTGACGAACAGAATACCAACCCGACGGACAAGGTCAATCCTGGATGTGGTCAAGAGGGGGAAAACTATCGTTTCCCCAACACGGACAGCCAGTTAGGACAAGGTGACTTTTCTTGCTTTGAAAATGAAGAGGAATGGAAGACTGGGTTCAAACCCATCCCGGATGAGCCTGATCCGCAATTGAACAAGAAGTTTGTAGGTTGTCCTCTTCAGCCACAGATTGACCTAATCGAATCCAAGATCATGCCGTCGAATCAGGAGAAGAACGAATATGAAGAGTTGCCCATGGTATGTGGTTTGGATGCTAATATTGGTTCTCGCGGCTGTTGCTGGTGGGGCCGAGGAATGCTCCAGATGACGTATCAGTGCAACTATGGAGATTTTCAAGAAAACTGGGGAGCGTACTATCAAGTGCCTGATCGCGAAGACATTGACATTTGCTCCAATCCTGGTCAAGTTTGCAGTGAACAGTTCCCCGAAATGAAGTACCTGACCGGATTGTTCACGTGGGTCAAGAATGTCGTTCACAATCCGTCGTTCGACTTCATTCAAGAGCTCAAACAATGGGTTGATTCAGGTTTAGACACGAGTCCGGGCGGCTTCATTGACAGAGTGGGAGGTGCACTTGTCAACGGTGACCCAAACCAGCCGCCTCCCAATGCTGAAGAACGCCGACTGTTCACCAAGGCCGCTATCGAAGCGCTCATGCCAATCCAACCCCATGGGGTTGAACTATACTTCCACTATGGAGATGTTGCCAAGTGCAAGCCTGCGGTACAGTCATCGATCTTCAACTCTACTAGTACAAGCAACCACACAGCAGGAGCAGCGCTGAAAGGCGACCGCAACGCAACCAGGATTGCGGAGACTGACTGTGATCCGAATCCTTTCTGGCAGGTGGATTTAGGCCAGCCCTATCAGATCCTATCAGTGCATGTTGTGTGGTATGAGCACTACCACTACGAGATGATGGATCTTCCCGAGTACAACGAGACCGCTGACCCTATCGTCACGAAGACGAATGTCGATCTTCAAATCGATTTGCTGGACGAGGATGGCAACAGTGTTGCCGATCCTTCACGCTCACAATTCAAGCATAACTTACAAGAGGACGGCAAGATTGAATCGGTGTGGACAGTACAGGTGGAGAATTCCACCGACCTCAAGGCAAGCCAAGTGCGCGTCTCGATCCCATCAGCTGGCGGCGATTGCAACTTTCTCAGTCTAGCACAAGTTCTCGTGATGAGTGTCTGTGAATTAGGAGATGCATGCTTGACTGGATCAACCTGTGAAGAACAGAACATTGCCCAGTGCAAGCCAACGATTCAGAGTTCCACCCAAGATGCTCTTGTCTCCGATATTGCCGTTGACGGAATCAAAGATGGTGTTGCAACCACTCTTTGCGAAGAAGCACCGTACTTCATGGTTGACTTGATGGGCGAGTACAACGTGACTGCAGTCGCTTTAGTCAATCATGCTGATGCTGGAGGAAATGGCCTTGAACGACTCAATGGCGTTGTTGTTGAGTTGCTCGACGAAGACGAAAACGTTATAGCCGAAGACTCTCACAAGCCTCGACTCATGGGAGACGAAATGGGTGATGTATACGTTATGAAGTTTGATAATGAACCAGCCATTGCCCATAAGGTTCGAGTGAGGATATCACATGCCGCGGGCAGCTGCGAAGCACTCAAGCTTGCTGAAGTCGCTGTGATGGGAGAATGCTTGGACGACGGTGAACACTGCAAGACATGGCAGAACTGCAAGCATCAGAACATCGCTCGCTGCATGCCCGCTACGCAGAGCTCGACATTTGAAGGAGGCATTGCAGCTCGGGCCGTGGATGGACACACCTCGCTGGAACACACAAAACGTGAGGAACAGCCATGGTGGAGTGTGGACCTTCTCGGGTCTCACCCTGTCACTGAGGTAGTCATCCACAATCGCGAAGATTGCTGCTTTGAACGTCTGAACGAAATTGAAGTATCGCTGTTGGATGAAGCCGGCAACACAGTGTCTACCATAAAACACGACCCTGCGACTGAGGGTGTGATCGAGGGAGCTTGGACTGCAGTATTTGCCGAAAACGGAACAGTCACGGCTTCCAAAGTACGCGTCACTGCCAACCATCCAGGCAGTGGCGAGCCCTTGAATCTTGCAGAAGTTCAGGTGATGAGCCCTTGCACAGATTCCAGTTGCCTCACCTGGGCAGATTGTGACAATGGCAACATTGCGCAGTGCAAGCCCGCAGAACAGAGTTCCACTTTGGAATCAGATGTGGCGGCCAACGCTGTCAATGGACATGAATCATTGGCTCACACCGACTGCGAGAATAATCCGTGGTGGCAGGTTGATTTACTAGGCCCGCGACCTGTTCAAGGAGTTGTGATTCACAACCGCGAAGACTGTTGTTGGGAACGCTTGAACGGGGTACTTGTGGAGCTCATGGATGACAATAATTCCACTATTGGCTCCATAAAGCACGACCCCGCC